CTGCCTCTGGCCTAGAGTCTGTTATTCTTGCATCAACCTCCATCGCCCATGCGAGCTATGTGAATCCTTCACCTGGACCACCACCACCCCCTACCTTGTGTGTTCTCTACGTTGAGCTTAGAAATTCCAAAATACTGATTTGATTATGTAATCTCCTTCTTTGAAAATTATGTAATCAACTCCTAATATTCCCAAGTCAGAGGCCCAGGCCCTTAAGGCCCCACTTGGCTACCTAGTCTCAACTGGTGCCCCCTAGCTGTTTCCTCTCCAGCGACTGGGTCATTTTTCCAACTGCACAGGACAACCGTGCCTGTCTTGCTCCAGGACATTTGCCCAGGACGTTTGTCTAGAATGTTTGTCCCCTGTTTCACACAGCTGAGCCTTCAGCCTTCAGATCTTGGCTCACTCATCACACACTTGAGGGAGCCTTGGACCCTGCCCCCCAGCCAGGTGAAACCCCTGTTCTGTGCTTTGCAGCACTTCTCACCACAGCAACTTCACCTTGGTGTGTGCACTTGGCTGATCCACGTGACAAGCAGCCTCACCAGGGTGGGAAATACGTATGCTCCTGCTCCTCCCCGTGACTCCAGTACCAAGCACCCAAGTTCCCCCAAAATGTTTGTGGAATGAACACATAAGTACTAAAGGGATGCCCGTGGGAAGCACAGCCAATGCCTACATGACTTGGGGGAAAATGTTCATTACTGGTGTTGTCCCTGCACGTCCCCGACTGGTGGACAAGTTTGAGTGTGAAGTATTATTAGTATTTCATTTTTACACAGGGGAAAGTGGAAATGCAGTCCCTCTCAACCACAAATCATGCAGTTTCTGCATCTATGAGTTTCTCGTATCTGGGAAAACCGTGTGGGTCAGCAGACCTGGAATGCAGTCCAGAAGTCTCACCCTGAGAAAACCACCTTTGTGATCATGGCATCTCCTCTCCCAGGTGGGAGCCTGAACTCTTTACAGCCACCTGCAGGTGCGCTTCCCCGGGCTGCTGCTGGCCTCTGCACCCCAGGAAACAGAAGGGCCTTTGGGAAATAGCACAAAATAGGAGACAAGGTAGGAGGGGCTGGAATGTGCTGGCTACGCATGCTGACTGGGAATGAAAAGTGTTCATGGACGGGCGTCAGGTGACATCCAGGGACAAATAGAGCTGGCCATGTAAACTGAGCCAGTGAATCAAGGAGGTTCCCAAATGAACACCTGTGAAGGAGGCAGGGGAGGGCAGGGGTGTGAGCCCTGGCTGGGTGCTGCTACCATCAGCTCTGTGTCCCATCTTGGAGCGGGGCTAGACTTACACCTTCCCACACTCTTTGATGCTCCATCATTTTCTGGGGTGGAACCAGAAATATGCTCTTCAAAGAGGTGAGAAGAGCAAAGTAGTGCTTCCTTGGAAAAAGATCACGTGGGACTTCATGACTGTTTCACACATTTGTCTTCCAGCTAAGGAGAGGCTGAAGGAAAGAGACCCCTAAGCACAGCCTTTTATCCAGACCAAGCATCCAGCCCACAAAGTCACCTGTGGCAGGTGCCAAACAAATTCAGGTCCACATCTGTGTGCGCTTCTCTGCCTTCCTGCCTGCTGCCCAACAGGCCCAGCCCCAGCCTGTCCTGACACCTTCCAGAATCCAAACCTGCCAGAATCCACAGCCTGCCCCCGTGCCTGCCCTCGACGCCCTGTCCCTGCCCCCAGTGTTAACGAGCGGTCAGCCGGGCAGAAAGGCCTGGCACTGTCAACATGCGGGCTTCCGAAGCCGTGACACTGCTTTGATTCTCAGTGCAGAGCACTGCGCCGGCTCGGAAGGATGCCCTGTGTCCGCCTGCCGCAGCGATGGTGCCTTTGTCTGGGCATGGGGAGCTGTGATTTATGTCATAAGCTCGCTGTGAAACCTTTTGCCTCAGTAATTCTGTGCTCCATGGGTGTCTCTTTACATCTATTCACACTACGGCTGCTGCCCACGGACGGCGTGCCCTGTGACAGTGCTGGTGGCTCTGCGCTCGCCTCGCCATGGCGCCCGTGTGGTGCCTGCCCAGCATCTTTGTGGCCGGCTGCAGCGTCTGTTGGGTCTGTTGCTTTGATGTCGCACATGATTAGATGCTGTCCCTGGAGGAGCGATTGCAGGGAGACTGGGTGGAGGAAGAGGCTGCCTCTAGCTTTCCAGAATGTTTTGCTTCGGTTGTGGGGACAAGGCTAGAACATGACAGGCACTGCTGCCTTTGCTTAGGGGATTCTCAGCATGGTGAATGCGTCCCCATATGCCACCCTCTCCTGGCCAGGTGTAGGGGTACCCGCTGGAGGTTTGGGGGAATCCCCGTGCAAAGAGGTGGACTCCTTATTTACAAAGATTTAGTGCAGGCCATGAGCCCGGAGTGGCTGGAATCCCTTCATTCATTCAGCAAACACTGGTGGAAGGTCGGCACTTGCGGGCGCTATGTTCAGGGAGGCAGTGGTGGGCAATGCTTTTTGGTAAAAGCCTCAAGGTATTAAGATTTCTCCAGAACAAACTGTCCCCCAAATCTAAACCTACCCCCAACCTGAATGGAGGATGAGTTGCATCACTGACTGACCCCATTCCTGTGTGGCTGACATAGTATTGGGGATCCCATCCCAGAACAGGGCCCCTGAACACCCGGAGAGGAGGCACTGTGCTTTGTCCTGCATCTCTAGTCAACGCAGGGTAATTCCTACAGCCTTGGGAACAGAGTCCAGGAGTCAGAGGTCCTGTTCCAAGAAATGATGCCTGTGGGGCTGCCCCTAGGACTTGAAAGCCTGGTCAGAGATCACTCACATTGAAATAACTTCAAGGCTAACAAAGGATTACTTGTAGTCACTACTGAAATATACTGACTCCTTTCTTTTTCTTTAAAATAAATTGCCCCATTCTGTCCTGGAGAAATAAGTCAGAAAAAAAAATTGCCCCAGATATTTTCCCCTCGTGGTCCATCCTGTAAAGTTTGTTTTCTCTTTTCATTCCTGTTTTTTGGAAACAAGAGTCTTGCTCTATCACCCAGGCTGGAGTGCAGTGTTGCTATCACAGCTCACTGCAGCCTCCACATCCTGGATTTAGGTAATACTCCTGCCTCAGCCTCTTGAGTAGCTGGGACTACAGGTGCATGCCAACAGGCCCAGCTAATTTTTAAAAAAAATTTTTTGTAGAGATAGGGTCTTGCTATGTTGCCCAGGCTGGTCTTGAACTCCTGGACTCAAGTGATCCTCTTGCCTCAGCCTCCCAAAGCGCTGGGATTACAGGTGTGAGTCGCCATGCCTGGCCTCTTTTCATTCTTTATGCAGTTTCATATGACAAGGGTTGAAGTGTGTGTTGGTTTAATTCAGACATAACGTGCATGGGAAGGGCAGTGGGTGAGTCTTGTTTCCATGTATAATGATGGGAAACATTAAAATTTAAATAATAAATATAAAAGGTAGCTGTCACAGAACATAAAAATGCTCGCATTTCTTCCCTTTCAGGAGTCCACCATATTGAAATCACTGCATTAGTGGAACACCACAAGACAATTACCCATAGAGGGGGTGAGATAGCACCGGGAAAGTGCCATCCTGTTTGTCAAGTAAGGAAACACGAGGGGAGTTGTCTTGGGGGATTTTTTAACTTTTCCTAGATAGAGTCTTTACTCTGAACGCATCTATAATGGAAAGTTAGCATTTGAGAGAAATGTGTGAATCTCACTTCTTGATGGTTCAGACCACTGAGAACACTGTCCTTTTGCATGTTAGCTTTTCAGCTATTTGTTCAAAACTAATCAAGCCAAAATATGTCTTATGTCTATGAGTGATGAGTCTTGGTTGATGGAGATAATTTTTAAATGAAAAACACCCGGGTTTTACATCTAATGGAATGACCCCTTCAATGAAGTCTTTTGGGGAGGACAACCTCTTACTCCAACCAATATTTTGGAAACATTTTCAGTCTTTTGGGTATTTTCTGAGGTGAGAAATCTTTGTTCTTTATCATTATTATTTCTTTTTTCTTTCTTTCTTTCTTTTTTTTTTTTTTTTTTGCGATGGATTGCTCTTGTTGCCCAGGCTGGAGGTGCTCTTGGCTCACTGCAAGCTCCGCCTCCCAGGTTCACGCCATTCTCCTGCCTCAGCCTCCTGAGTAGCTGGGACTATAGGCACCTGCCACGACGCCCGGCTAATTTTTTGTATTCTTTATTAGAGACGGGGTTTCACTGTGTTAGCCAGGATGGTCTTGATCTCCTGACCTCGTAATCCGCCCGCCTCGGCCTCCCAAAGTGCTGGGATTACAGGCGTGAGCCACGGCGCCCGGCCTATCGTTATTATTTCAGGGTAGATCTGACGGGTGGAACAAGGATGAGTTGTTCAGAGTCAAGTCTGCAAGGGTGAGCCATCAGAATGGGGGTGAGGTCCCAACACTGCAATGACCTGGGCAGGGCACTTTACCTGGCCGAACCCCAGGTGGAGGGAGAATATCACCTGCCTCTTGTGTTTCACTGCAATGTGGTGAGGACCGAATGAGAGAAGTCTGCAAATGTACGAAGCGCTCTCATTAACAAGGTGGATGATCAGATTGGGTAATTTCGTTTCACATCAAATGCCAGATGCGGCAAGAGACTGATTTTCATTGTTCTGAAAATTATACCTAAAGAGAGCTGCCAAAATATTTTGAGCTCTGACTGCATCATCGAAATAAGTGCCTGGCGTCCGTCCCCAGGTGACTACTTTGAAAGGATGCATTCTTGACATGCAACCCCTTAATTCTCCAGTGGCTCTAATCAAAAGGCCTCTAGGCTCCCGCTCCTCAAAATGGGGTCCCAGGACCAGCAGTCTAGGCCACACCCGCGAGCTTGTTAGCAATGCAGGCTCTCCCACCCCAGACCCACTGAGCAGATTCTGCATTTTCACAAGTCCCCAGGGGTGCCTGGGCCATTACAGTTTGAGAGCGCCCCATGCAACCCAGCTCCCAGGCCGGTCACTAAGTGGCAAAACTGCAGCGCACTGCCGGATCCTGCCTTACCTTGGGGAAGGCGTCGGGCCACACAGTGGGCGAGCCGTGGTTGAACAGCGCCTGCACCGTGCGCTGCGGTGCGGCCTGGAGCGCGCAGGCTGCAGTCTGCAGCACGCGGGCCAGCGGCGAGGCCCCGCCATAGTCGAGCGCGCCCGCGTCGGCGCCGTGCCTCAGCAGGAGGCGCGCCAGGCTGTGGCTCGCGTGGCCGCAGGCCTTGTGCAGTGGGCTGCGCTCGTCCTCGTCGCGCGCGTCCGCCTCCGCCCCGTGCCGCAGCAGCAGCGCGCACAGGCGCAGGCAGCGCCCGTGCTCATCGGGTCTCCGCGCCGCCCCGCAGGCCACGCTTAGGGCCGTCTCCCCGCAGCCGTTCCTCGCGTCCACGTACGCCCCGCGGTCCAGGTAGAGGCGCGCGTGCTCGTCCAGGCCACGCTGCGCCGCCACGTGCAGCGGCGTGTCCCGGCCCTTGCCGCCCACGCGCTGCACCGAGGCCCCGTGCTCCAGCAGCGCCTGTGCGCACCTGTAGGAGGCCAGGGCCCATCACTTGGGCGCCCCGCAGGACACCCGCACCCTTCCACCCCCGGCCTGCTGCTCCAAAATATCAAGTGATCCCTGAATGAAAAAACATGCTCCGCTCTCCCATACCAAGGCGTCGGGAATTCAAACTAAGCTGGAAAAAAAAAAAAAAAAAAAAAAGAGAGAGAGATTATGGCACCACCAGTTCCCGAGTGGTGGAAATAGCCAAGGACATGTCATAAGAATCCACGTGCAGAGTTACATTTTATAAGGAAATGTTACCTGCTTGGAGCTTCCTGGGAGGGTGATGTGGTTCAAATGACAGTGCTCCATGCACTGGTTACCTGGGCTGTTTGTCACACCCGGAGGTTAAGCGTTTGGCAGTCACAGTTCTAGGGAGAGGCCCTTGGGAGTCAGATTCTTTCTCGGCCCCCAACTGGCCCTTCTGGAAACCGCTCAGCTTTGTGAGGGTGTGAGGCAAGCCTTGCCTTGCACCACGAAGGGACTTTCCCCATCCCTCAGGACACTGACTCAGCTTGGCACCGCCCTGTCCTCTGACAGTCCGGGGAGCATTAGGTGGGAAGCACAACCGTGCCCTGTTGTGAGCCTACCTGTGCTCCTTGAACAGACTGGATATTGGCTGCATCCAAATTCCCCAGTGGTCTCTAGGAGCTTCTAGACCCCCATGGGAGCCTGTGGTCTCCCCCAGAGATGAGTGTCTTTCTTCTGCTGCCTCCAGGAGCATGACTGTCCTCTACCCCAGGCACCAACGCTTCCTCAGAGCCTCTCCCATCCCTTGGGGGCACGCTAAACAGCTCAGCCTCGCTCAGATGCCTGGTGAGGAGTGTGCCCCAGCCTGGAAGCGGGAAGACACTCATACAGACCCTCCTCCCTCCGCTGGTCCTTGTCCTTCACGGACACTGAAAAACACAAGTCCACCTCCAACTTCAGCCACCTGCTCCCACAGTCACCTGCCATCGATAAGGCCACTCCAGCCTTGGAAGTCTGCAAACATGCCGACTTCAGACTACAGCCCCGGTCCTCTAGCTCCCCAACGCCTGTTGGTCCTACTCGCCATCTTTGCTCTATAGAGACCTAAGCCCTGGACCTCTTGTTTCTCTCTACCCTTCCTGGCTTCAGTTCCTTTCCTGGGCAGCACTGTGGTCACCTCCTCATCTACAACCTCAGTTCCCTTGAATGGAGGGGACCATGGCGATCCCCTACTCAAATGCCGAATCTTCAAGCCAGCGTCCATTCTTCACCCCCCTCCTTTTCTCTGCCGGTCTGCCGAGCCCTGTTGGAGGAGGTAGCATTCATGGAGCTGGACTTGGTCTCAGCTGGGCCTCAGTTAACTGATACCTTTCAGTGTTAAGGCCACCTCCTCATGCCTTGCTCTTCACTAGCCACTCCTAGTGTTGACCTTGGTCCTCAAGCTTCCGCCCTCTTTCCACCTTCCTCCCTCTTAGCTGTCTGCACTGGCTTCATTCAGGGTGCGGCTCCCAGGAACTCCCTCACCTGCCTGCCTTCTGCAAACACATCTGTTTCAACACTGATTAGAATCTGTTTTGACAACTGCTATTGCCTCCCTCTTCCTCATGCCTAAAGAAGGCACTCCCTCTCGATCATCTTGACCCAGAGTTAGTCCTCTTTGGCCTCTTTGGGGTCTTGCTCTAGATGACTTGCTCCTTGCCATTTTCATGTCCTTCTATTTCCTTGCCCCATTTCAACTGGTCACTGAGCCGTGCTGGGTCCATCTCATCACCTGAACTGCTTCCCCCCTCCACTCCCACTGTCACTGTCCTTTGTTGAGGCCACATCGTTTCTCTGAATGCTTATGAGTCTCTTTATTTGCCCCTTGCTGCAATCTAGCAAGCTGCATACTATCTGGAAGGAACCTTTCCAGTGCGGAGCAAATATGTGCCTGCCGACAACCCCACCACTCCCCCTGCCTGCTGGGCGAAGCCCACACTGCTCTCCTCAAGACCCAGGACACATCATGATCCAGCTCCTGGGGTCCTCACCGGGTTCACCTCCTGAGGCGCCGCCTCTCCATGCTTCAGTTCTACCTGACCAGGTATGGTGCTGAGAGCATACGCTGCCGTGCCATGCCCCCACGCCCTCTGCTCGCTTCTTCCAGATTGCCCCGCTGCACGCGATGGCCCACACAGTCCCATCTTTCCTTCCTTTTAGAAGCCTTCCTGTGCCACCAGGCAGAGGAAGGGGGTCACACCTCTGTGTTGTCACATGCCTTGTACTCTGTGCCCAGGCACCACATTGGTCACCCCATATTTCAGATATTTGTTGGGCCAGGCACGGTGGCTCATGCCTGTAATCCCAGCACTTTGGGAGGCTGAGGTGAGTGGATCACCTGAGGTCAGGAGTTTGAGACCAGCCTGGCCAACATGGTGAAAACCTATCTCTACTAAAAACACAAAATTAGCCAGGTGTAGTGGTGGATGCATGTAATCCCAGCTACTCGGGAGGCTGAGGCAGGAGAATCACTTAAACCTGGGAGGTGGAGGTTGCAGTGAGCCAAGATTGTGACCCTAAACTCCAGCCTGGGGACAACAGAGCGAGACTCTGTCTAAAAAAAAAAAAAAATGGCACTTTGAACTCCTTGGGTGTAGAAATGGAGGCTTTGTTTATCTCTGATTCCCAGTGCCTACCACACTATTGGTATTCCCTAAAAGCATGTTGAACAAACACATTCCATTAAATAACACCTTTCAGCTTTTCTTTGCCGCTGCTTTTCCTATTATATTTACCTAACTGGAGCTCTGAACAAGATCATCCATTGAGGGTTTCCTGGCTGCCCTTAAATCCATTTATATTTTTACCTAGAGGCTCTCAATATTTTAAATTCTCCCTTTGGACTGTCTCGTTTCTACATCAGCAGTGTCTTGAGAAGTGGTCTATCTTGAGTGAAAGATCTTTACAAACAAGTACAGTTTGATGTGGAGTCCTTTGGGACCAGGATTGGCTAAGGGAGGATGCAAATTTTACAGTAGAGTGCTTCACTTTGCTTCCTACTTGCTTCTCTGGGAGGAGTTTTGAACAGTGCAGCAGGAGGTTAGAAATCAAGGGTTCCATCTCGTTTTGCCACTGAGCCTGTGAGCACTTGCAAACAATTACAAAACATTTTCTTCTTTTTAAAGAAAAAAATCTTTTAAGCAGCTCAGCCTCTCTAAAGAAGTCCACAGGGAAATACGACCAGTCCCCTTTTCCACGTGCACAGCCTGTAGCTGGCTAATGGCCAGGCTTTTCCACATGCACAGCCTCGCTGGCTAATGGCCAGGCTGCTATTTGCAACACAGATACCTTTCAGAGGAATGAGGACACTGGCCCACCCTCTGGAGGGCTGCAGATGCCCTTTTGGTTTTTAATGAAGAGCTTCTAATTGGCTAAACCTTGGCACTTTTTAAGAGTGGGCAATGGTTTAAGTTGCAGAATCACAGGCATGGGGAAGAAACAACACAACAAATTGACTGGGGCATGTCTCCGCTTGCACACAGTGGCAGTCATTAAAAATGAAGGTGTGAGAGCCTATTTAATGGCATGAAATATATTTGCAGTGGATATGTGAAGAGATCAGGTTACAAAATAGCACCACTGTACGATCCCATTTTGAAAAAGCATAAATATATCTATGCGTATATGAAGAATACCAGAAATTGGCCGGGCGCAGTGGCTCACGCCTGTAATCCCAGCACTTTGGGAGGCCGAGGCAGGCGGATCACGAGGTCGGGAGATCGAGACCATCCTCGCTAACACAGTGAAACCCCAGCTTTACTAAAAATACAAAAACTTAGCTGGGAGTTGTGGCAGGCGGCTGTAGTCCCAGCTCTTGGGAGGCTGAGGCAGGAGAATGGTGTGAACCTGGGAGGTGGAGCTTGCAGTGAGCTGAGATTGCGCCATTACTCCAGTCTGGGCGACAGAGCAAGACTCTGTCTCAAAAAAAAAAAAAAAAAAAAAGAATACCAGAAATTTCTCATTTCAGTTTTTAATTGATTTTAATTTTAATTTAATTTTTTTAGAGACAGGATCTTGCTCTCTCATCTCGCCTGGAGTGCAGTGGCACGATCACGGCTCACTGCAGCCTTGAACTTCTGGGCTCCAGCAGTCCTCCTGCCTCAGTCTCCCAAGTAGCTGGGACTATAGCCGAGTGCCCCCATGCTCGGCTAAATTTTTTTTTTGTTTTATTTTTGTATTGACGGGGTCTTGCTATGTTTCCCAGGCTGCTCCGAAACTCCTGAGCTTAAGTGATCTTCCTGCCTTGGCCTCTCAAAGTGTTGAGATTATAGGCATGAGCCACTGTGCCCCGCCAAAAAACCTAGAAATTTAGAGGGCAATGTGTGTTTATCGCTGGATGATGGGCATAGTGGGAGCTTCTGTTTCCTTTCTGCCTGCATGTATTTTTCAAGTTTTCCAAAATAAGTCAAGGTGCAGTTTGATACAAGAACCACAACAGAGGTTATTAATAACAAAACCCTCCCTACCTGCTCCAGCAACAGCTCATGGATTCTAAGAATACCCCTTTGGCTTTCCAGGTTCCCAGAATACGCTTGAAATTTCCATTGATCTGTTTAGGTATAGGCAGCATTGTGGAACATATATATGGCAATGCCCATGAGAAGGTGAGGAGAGGAGAGGGCTGGGCTGGCTGGGAGCTACTCAGTGATAACAGACCTGACCCCGGGACCCAGGCCCATCCTTGAAACACTATCATTTCAATCCCTCCTATCAGTGTCACCAGTGGAAGAAATGGCCCAGTGGGGAAAGCATACTGTTTGTCATTTTATTGCCTTCTCTGTATCAATGTCACCAGTGGAAGAAGAAATAGCTCAGTAGGGAAAGCGTCCCTGAAGCTTTGCAGGCCTATGTGTGGGACCCAGCCTTGGCTGAGCCTTTTATTCCAAGGCAAGATTTTGTGAGTGGGTTTCCTGCTCTCCTGATAGGCAAAAGTCAGAAAGGCCTGGGGTCAGGGTAGAGCAGTCACTGTTGGGATCTAAGGGTAGAATTCCCATCTGAGGATGTCAGAACAACTTTGTCTTTATCTTGCAAGGATTAAGGAGACACCATGTTGTCTCAGCAGCTTCTGATATGAAGCACCTTGGACAAACACATTCATCTCTGGGTCCCTCATCTTTGTCTTCGATAATGACTACAATGACAGGCTGTTACAGGGGCCTAGGATTGACAGCAGAAAGAAAAAGTAACTTAAGCTCAAAGGCAGGAGTTAATAGAGATGAACCCATCAGGGACTGTTGAATCAATGTCATTCCAATTCATGTCTACGGGATAGGGGGATGTGGGACTTTGGCCACTCCCTGCACACCCTCCCGTCCACCCTCTAGCACCTTCCCAAAGCACTGGCTTTTCCTAGTCCCCTCCCAGGGCACAAGGCCTGAAGACCTCAGCCTGGGCTCTCCCACTGTTTGCTCCTTCCTTTGCCCACCTGTCTCACCCACCTGCTCCCACCTGTCTCAAGTGCATGCCAAACCTCCATGCCCCCTGCACGCTCTGCCCAGATGCCTCTTCTCAGCCAGAGCCTGTCCAGGGTTCCATTCTCTCGTCTCCCCTGCCTCCTGATCACCCTCTTTATTTAAAGCCCTGGAAATGCTGCTTCTCTGCCTCCTGGTTCTGAACTGAAAGGTCTTTTGGATTCCCCAGTACTTGGTCTTTTTTTTTTTTTTAAACAACTATTTATCTTTAGTCCCTGCAACAACTTTGCATTGTAGGTGGAATTTACAGTTGGGGAAACTGAGGCTTAAAAGGCCAGTGACCTGCATAAGGCCATATGGCCAGGAAGTGGCAAAGCAGAGGTCTCATTGCTTCATGTGGCTTCCCAACTGTCAGTCACACACCCCTCCACTGCCCCTTCCAACTGGTTTTATTTGTTAAGCACCTTCTCTGAGGCAGGTTCTGTTCTAGGCATTTTCCACAAGTTATCACTGACCTTTTCATTCATTCAGTAAGCAGAGAACATGTGCCATGCTCCTTTTGAGGCAAGGAGAAGTGTTTCTTCTTTTATCACTCCACAAGAATTCCTGGACAGACTCACCGACAGGACACTGAAGGTAGGGCAAGGCGACCCATGGACCTCATTCTATGGCGTGGCACAGTAACCAGTTCTCACCCACTCCTCCCAGCTACCTGGCATGGTAGATGACATCCTCCCTCATTTTTGGTGAGGAGTTCGTCTTTGAGGTTTAAGCAGTGGTCTCAAGGGCAGGGCCTGGCAGAGGATGGTGGCCTTGCAGTCAGTGTGTTCTGTCTGGCATATGAACTCTAGCCCCCAGCTATCCAGTGGTGAATATAAGGACTCCAAACCACTGAAAGATGATGCTGACTGAGCAATGCAACAACAACAACAACAAACAACTGCTAAAAATAAGGCTGCATTCAAGACTCAAACGTCACCTCTTTTGTGTGTGTGTGGGGAAAAGGACATTGTTTCTGAACATTTTGTTGGAAATGTTAAATATCTGATTTGGTTTGCTTGTGTCCCCACCCAAATCTCATCTTGAATTGTGCTCCCATAATTCCCATGTGTTGTGGGAAGGACCCAGTGGGAGCTAATTGAATCATGGGGGCAGTTTCCTTCATACTGTTCTCTTGGTAGTGAATAAGTCCCACAAGATCTGGTGGTTTGATAAGGCGAAACCCCGTTTGCTTGGCTCTCATTCTGTCTCTTGCTGCTGCCATGTGAGACGCGCCTTTCACCTTCCACCTCCCCAGCCACATGGAACAGTAAGTCCAATAAACCTCTTTCTTTTGTAAATTGCCCAGTCTCAGGTATGTCTTTATCAGCAGCATGAACACAGACTAATACAGCATCTGTCTCCGGAAGTCGCCGGAGTCTTTGTTCAATCCTGAGCTCCTTCTCCTGTTCTCCTTACGTGACTGCTGCTGGAATCTCTTCTGACAGACAGAAAGGGGTTGAGCACTACACAGTGTATTCAGTGGGGGTAATGGGTGTTATGAGCTCATCTTGTTGAATTACTGTTACTGCTGCTTTTCCTCCTCAGGAATGACATGGAGGCAGATGGGCTGGAGACACGTCCCAGGGGAATCGTGGCTGCAGTTGAAGGCTGGGTCCCAGGGTGGGTGCTGGGCATGTGCCAGCCTATGAAGGCAAGGTAGGGGGAGAGCCTTGGGAGGAAAACAGAGCCGTGTTTTCTAATGAGGCTGCTGCAGGAAGGTTCCCTCCTGTGGGTCTATGCCCCAGCTGACTCCGATGAAGGACGGGGAAGCCACAGCTCCATGACTTTGATGGAGGAGCAGTTCCACTTTATTTCCCTGGACCTTCTGCTGAAGCTTTCCTTTGGGGATCTTCCGTCTACCCACTTTCTGTTCTGCATTTTCTTCTCTCTCCCTCTCTCCTGGGATGCTAAGTTATGAGACTATCAGGCATAAATGTTTGCAATTGAAATGGCTGATATGAATAGACAAATCCATCAGGGTAGGAGGGCGACTGAGAAAGAAACTGGTTGGCCATTTCTATCATCATGGTTTCCCTTGGAGCAATGGCTGCCATATGTTTCTCTGAAGTGTGGGATGATTGCAGTGGATGATGTTATTTTGGGCAAATTCTCTCCCCATTGTAAATGGAACCTTGGCAAACTGAAAAATGATTTCGTGAACAAGATTTGTAAAGTCAGCTCCACTGTTTGCCCCATGATATAGTTTGGATATTTATCAGTGCCGAAATCTCATGTTGAAATGTAATCCCCAATGTTGGGGGTGGGGTGGGGCCTGGTGGGAGGTGGTTGGATCATGGGGGTAGATCTCTCACGAATGGTTTAGCACCATCCCCTTGGTGCTTTCCTCACGATAATGAGTTCATGGGTGATCTGGCTGTTTAAAAGTGTGTGGCAGCCAGGTGTGGTGGCTCATGCCTGTAATCTCAACACTTTGGGAGGCCAAGATGGGAGGATCACCTGAGGGGAGTTCGAGACCAGCCTGGCCAACATGGTGAAACCCTATCTCTACTAAAAATACAAAAATTAGATGGGCGTGGTGGCACATGCTTGTAGTCCCAGCTACTTGGGAAGCTGAGTCAGGAGAATCACTTGAGCCCTGGAGGTGGAGGTTGCAGTGAGCTGAGATGGTGCCACAGCACTCCAGCCTGGGCGACAGAGCGAGACTTCGTCTCCAAAAAAAGGTGTGTGGCACCTCCCATCCCTGCTCCTGCTTTCACTGTGTGGTGTGCCTGCTTGCCGTTTACCTTCTGCCATGAGTAAAAAGCTTCCTGAGGCCTCCCCAGAAGTAGAGCCCAGCATTATGCTTCCTGTACAGCCTGCAGAATAGTGAACCAATTAAGCTTTTCTTCTTATAATTTCCCAGGCTCAAGTATTTCTTTATAGCAGTGCAAGAATGGCCCAATACACCTCACGTGCCCACTAAGCAGCATCTGACTTTCTGGAAGCTTCTTTGGTGCCCCTTCCTCAGTAAGGCATGTGTAACTTTTCTTCCTCTTTCCCTCATCCCCTAGTCCCAATATACTAGATGAAGAGGAAGACACAGTAGCATCGGAGTGAGAGGAAAGAAAAGGAGGAAATAGAGGTCAGAGTGGAAGCAGGTGTGAGAGGGTCCAGCAGAAGCAAACATGGCTGCCAAAGTGTTTGAGTCCATTGGCAAGTTTGGCCTGGCCTTAGCTGTTGCAGGAGGCGTGGTGAACTCTGCCTTATATAATGTGGATGCTGGGCACAGAGCTGTCATCTTTGACTGGTTCCATGGAGTACAGGACATTGTGGTAGAGGAAGGGACTCACTTTCTCATCCCATGGGTACAGAAACCAATTATCTTTGACTGCCATTCTTGACCACGCAATGTGCCAGTCATCACTGGTAGCAAAGATTTACAGAATGTCAACATCACACTGCGCATCCTCTTCCGACTCGTCGCTAGCCAGCTTCCTCGCATCTTCAGCCTCAGAGAGGACTATGATGAGCGTGTGCTGCCATCCATCACGACCGAGATCCTCAAGTCAGTGGTGGCTCGCTTTGATGCTGGAGAACTAATCACCCAGAGAGAGCTGGTCTCCAGGCAGGTGAGCGACGATCTTACAGAGCGAGCAGCCACCTGTGGGCTCATCCAGGATGACGTGTCCTTGACACATCTGACCTTCGGGAAGGAGTTCACAGAAGTGGTGGAAGCGAAACAGGTGGCTCAGCAGGAAGCAGAGAGGGCCAGATTTGTGGTGGAAAAGGCTGAGCAGCAGAAAAAGGCAGCCGTCATCTCTGCTGAGGGTGACTCCAAGGCGGCTGAGCTGATTGCCAACTCACTGGCCACTGCAGGGGACGGCCTGATGGAGCTGCGCAAGCTGGAAGCCGCGGTGGACATCACATACCAGCTCTCACGTTCTCGGAACATCACCTCCCTGCCGGCGGGTCAGTCCGTGCTCCTCCAGCTGCCCCAGTGAGGGCCCACCCTGCCTGCACCTCCGCGGGCTGACTGGGCCACAGCCCCGATGATTCTTAACACAGCCTTCCTTCTGCCCCCACCCCAGAAATAACTGTGAAATTTCATGATTGGCTTACAGTGAAGGAAATAAAGGTAAAATCACTTCAGATCTCTTAAAAAAAAAAAGAAAGAAAGAAAGAAAAGGAGGAAATGGAAAAGAAAAGACTCTACTAGCTTCTTAGACAGGGATGGGGTGAGGTGGGGGGAGCTTTTTTTTTTTTCCCCCCCGAGACGGAGTCTCGCTCTGTCTCCCAGGCAGGAGTGCAGTGGCCGGATCTCGGCTCACTGCAAGCTCCGCCTCCCGGGTCTACGCCATTCTCCTGCCTCAGCCTCCCGAGTAGCTGGGACTACAGGTGGCTGCCACCTCGCCCGGCTAGTTTTTTGTATTTTTTAGTAGAGATGGGGTTTCACCATATTAGCCAGGATGGTCTTGATCTCCTGACCTCATGATCCGCCCGTCTCGGCCTCCCAAAGTGCTGGGATTACAGGCTTGAGCCACCGCGCCCGGCCAGGGGGAGCTTTAAACTGGACGAGAGAAACGTTGTACGCATGCAGGTATATATATATATTTTAATACAGTATCTTCTGTGAGGTACACACACAGAAATGCACAGGTCTTAAGAGCACAATTGAAGGAATTTCAACAAAGGACTATACCTATGTAACCAATACCTCCATGAAGATGTAGAATATTTCCATTTTGCCAGGAATTTCTCTTGTACATAATCCCCATAGGCAACCACTGTGCTGATTTTTCTCACAGTGGGTTAGTTTTGCATTTTCTAAAATTTTCCACTGTTTTGTATCTGGCTTCTTGTGCTCAGCATCATGCTGTTCACATTCATCCATATTGTTGCATGTATGGAGTAATTCATTCTTTTTTAAAGTTGCTGAGTCGTATTCAATTGTATGGATATACCATAATTTTAAGCCATTTTCTCATTGATATTGATGGACATTTGCATGTTTCTATTTTTTGACTATTATGAATAAAGCTTTTATGAATGTTTTTGTATAAGTCTTCCTGAGGACATATGTTCTCATTTTTCTTAGGTAAACACCTAAAAATGGAATTGCTGGTAGGTATGTATTTAGCTTTGTAGGAAACTGCCAAACAGTTTTCCAAAGAGATATCATTTTACCCACCCAAAACTGTGTATGAAAGTTCTAGTTGCTCCCTAATCTTGTCAACATTTGGTGTTGTAGGGTTTTTTTTTTTTTTTTTTTTTTTTTTTTGCCATTCTAATGCATGTGAAATGGTGAATATTTCTTTGTGGTTTCATTTGCATGTCCTTGATGATTAATGACGTTGAGCACCTCTTCATTTGCTTATTGGCCATTTGTATGTTGTTCAGAAAGTGTCTGATCAAGGCTTTTGCCCAGAGTATAAAGTTTGATTTGGCATGGACTGGCTTTTGGGTATTAAAATGGGACTTGCCAAGTGACCAGAAAGCTGAAGAATGTGCCTGGGATGCCACTGAGGGTCAGGGAAAGGGACACACTTGTAACAGAGGATGTTTGAAGGGAGGTGGCCAGAGATAAGTGGACTACTTCCTGATTATAGACAGTTTTTGGGGAAAAAAACTTCAGTTAACAAAGGAGAGGCAATCTTTTAGCGTTGTTCTCACAAACTTTGGCTTTGGGTCCTGACTCTGCTGGTTTCTGTTCCTTGCCACCTTACCGGCATAACACGGACTCTCTCTGAGCCTCAGTTTTCTAGTCCGTACCATGCCTTGCAGGCCTGAGAGGTTCAGAGGAAATAAGACATTTGCAAATGCTCAGGAATGTGTGACATTCTGCAAATATTAAATCATCTACTGGGGGCCGCCTTTCTCTGACATCTCATTCTTCAGTATTCCTCAAGATGCCTTAAAGTTTTATTGAACAAGACCATGTTCTCCTCTCTACTTGAATAACCAGTAGTCACTCACCTGGGATGTGGAAAGAATGTATTGTTTTCTGGATTATGTATCAATGCCTGTGAACCTGGCATCTCAGGCAGGTGAACTTCCTGTTCTTAGGTGGAGATTACTGGGTTCCCCAACCCATAAGATAATTAGCTGCTTTTATAGATCCAACTCCAGCTGATGAATCATTTTTTGTTTGTTTGTTTGTTTTTAAGACAGAGTCTCACTCTGTCACTCAGGTTGGAGTGCAGTGACGTGATCATGACTCACTGTAGCCTCGACCTCCTGGGCTCAAGTGATTCTCCAGACTCAGCCTCCCAAGTAGCTGAGACTATAGTTGCGTGCCACCATGCCTTGCTAATTTTTCTCACTATGTTGCCCAGGCTGGTCTCAAACTCCTGGGCTCAAGTGATCCTCTAGTCTTGTCCTCCTAAAATGATGGGATTACAGGCATGAGCCACTGTGCCCCCGTGAATTATTTTTCGTTTAGTTGAATTAACACACCTGAGACAAAAAAGTAAACTTGCATGCTTTTCATTAATAAGTTCCATGAAGAAAGCAAGTCATCCTCACTTTTGTTTAAATCAAGACAGCTATAGATAAGAAAAAGAACAGGGCATCAACACATTATTTTCTTATTTTAATTATCTCGAATAAAAAAGGATCAAGGAGAGGAATCTGATAATAAATAGGGCGAGGCTAGCATGCAGGCTACTGATGTGAACACAGTAACTTTACTGGAACTTTTCTTTTTGGGAAAATCTCTTCAAAAGGCTCCTAGATTAAAGCTCTGATATCCCTTTCAGTGTGTTGAATTCTGAATTCTGAAGCTTGCTGGTTGGAAGGAAGCACAGGTAATTTTTTTTTTTTTAATCCCAGGAACTCAGAGACTCAAAGGTTTTAAAGTCCTGTGCCCATGGCGAATTGCCAACTAAAAGGGGATGGAGCAGAACAGGGTCCCTAGGTGTGGAGACCATTGTCATCAAGAGTCAGAAAATGGAATGGCTCTGTATGTAGGTCAGCGACCCCCTCTCTACTGTGAGGTAAAAAAATTAAGGATGACCTAAAATCTACTGTGTTTAAAAAGATTGCAGAGAAAGTAGCTCTTTCTTGTCAAAGTGATAATGTTTATACTACCTGAAGCCAGACCTCCTCAGAGTATGACTTTAGGGGGACTCTTTAGAGCTGAAAAGCCATGGTCAAAACCTCAGGCCCTTTCGACATCTATTAACTTTTTATCCTTCAAGGTAGTTGGCTGTGTTATTGTAGAGGTGTTAAATGGGACCTGCCAGCATATTCCATTATCATCATTGATATTGAAGGGATTCTAAGTCAGCTATTACAGAGTTCTGCCTGAAATGCTGGTTTATTCATCACTTATCTTAAACCTTCCCCCAATAATCCGGATTTAAATAAGTCAAGAGGGTCAAATTAAACAGCCAAAGGGAAAGATTCCCATAGAGTGGCACAGAGAAGAGAAAATGAAACAAGAAAGAAGAAAGAGGAGGAAGAAGAGGAAGACAGAAGAGAGATTTTTTTAAGTCCCCACTCTAATAAAAAGACATTTAAAAAGTCCTTATTAAACAATGGCCTGGGCCCGTATGATTTTTGTAAAACCAACGGAAGCCAGGATATTAGATTCTGTTGTGCAGCGTGTAAGCTGAGTAGCTCTGGTGGTCTGCAGGATATTAGATTGTATTGTGCAGCGTGTAAGCTGGGTAGCTCTGGTGGTCTGCAGATGGCATCAGCCCCTTATGGTGTCCAAATGTAAGCTTGTTGGCTTCTCTTCAGGAGTACTGTAAGGGTTCACAGCATTTGCGTTTATTTTGTGCTATGATTGGGTGCTGCATTCTCATTTCTTAGTAAGAAGCAATACTTTTCAGATCCTTTAAAGTGGGAGAGGAGTTGGGGCCCAAGGTGTGAAGCAGACTTGATTTTTAAAAACCTTTTTATTTTAAAATTATTTTAGATTTTCAGAGGAGTAGGAAAGATAGCATAGAGAGTTTCTCAATATCCTTCACCAGCTTCCCCTAAAGTTAATATCCGATATTATTATGGTATATTTGTCAAAACAAAGAAATTAACAATGGTACAAGACTATTAACCAAACTGTTGACTTTATTTGGATTTTACCATGTTTCTCACTAATGTTCATGTTCAATTTTAGGATCCAATGCAGGATACCATGTTGCATTTAAAGAACTTAATTTTGAACAAGAGAATAATAAATATAACCATGCATTTTGGCAAGGCGGGGAGGGAGGAATGGTGAATACCCTAACTTGGAATATCATCAAGTGAGTTATATTTTCTACAGGAACATGTTATAATGGGGAGTTTATATTCTTGACTAAAGACATTATAGCAAGTAAGTAATAAATGACCAACAACTATGGAGATAAAGGAAAGAAACATCAAGCCCCCAAATGAATTTGAAATAGTAAAATATAGTTTCAATTCCCATAAAAGAAATACAGTGATTAGACATGAGGCCCCAGCAATTGCAGTCAGCACCTGCGTAATTCTATTTGGTAGGTGCTCTTCTAAGCAAATTAGCTATAGTAATTCATTCAATTCTCATAACCGTCCTATGTAGTAGGCTCAATTATCATCCCTATTTTACAAGTGAGAACACAGAGACCCAGAAAAATTAAATAATGTGTCCAATGTTGCACAGCTAGTAAGTGTTGGAATTAGAATTCAACCTGGGCCTCAAATGTGTTAAATATGTAAGTGTAGATATAAAATTGTATCGTATGAAAATGTGATCAAACTTGAATGCATTCAATGCACAATTGAATAATTTTGCCTCTTTTCTTAGTATATAGAAAGACTTTTGCAATTGATTTGGTTGGCTTCCGTCCTTTAATAAAGCTGATGCTTCTTTCTGTCTTAGAAACTTTCTGGTAGAAATCCACCAGCATCCCATTCTCAACCTCCATGCATACAATATATTTGACATATTTCTGGTCCAATGTTTGGCACATTGCCATATCATTACCTTCCTCTCCCCTGAAACTGCAAGCACTTTGAGGGCAGGGACTATGTCTAATGCAGCCCAGCTTCAGCCCCTCACAGGGTTCAATAACTGGTGATTGAATGCTTGCAGGAATGGAGTCAATACTGGTTGACCTTGGAGCTGTGTGTTTCAAAATAAATGGAATTTCTCTAATTTTTTCACAAGATGACACCTTTTCACATCCCAGC